AAAGCTTGCAATGTGACCTACGAAACTGGACTGGCAGGGGGCTGTAGCAAAAATGGGTTTATCTTTAAGCTCTTCTTCCCTTCATCCAAATCAGGCCTTAACATGCTTACATTGCATGAATTATGCTCTCTTGCTCTTTTGGCCTACAAAACACACAAAGGGAGGTAAGTGACTCAAAATAAAGAGAAACTAAGCAAAATCACTAAGTAAAGAAGACATGCAAGTGTATGAAATTATGGACTTATCAAAACAGAAAATGGATTAAAAGCACAAGTTTAACTCAATAACATAACCAAATCATAAGCTAGAAGGGTACAAAATGATATACAATTATGAACTGATCAAATGACCAAAACCAATGGGCAGTCCCTGGAGACAAGAAGAGCTCGCAGCATCAACCACCACTACAGGACCATAAGGCAACTGATAGATTGGGTAGACAATTGAATCCACCAAGACCAACCTTAGATCCCAGCATAGGCTGGGAAGGGGAGGGAACTGGGTCTAAACAGGGGATTCAAATCCCAGATCTGCAAAAGAAACAAAACCAAATACAAAGGGCCAAAACCCAATTAAACCACCAAAACCCAACCACAAATCGCCGAGCCAAATCAAAAGAAAAGGCAAACAGAAATAGGAACAGGAAAAAAAAAAAGCAAAGGAGGGGGAGGAGTGGACGGGGAACTAGGAAGGAATAGGGCAGGGAGGGAAGGGTAAATGTAGAGGCCACCCACCCCCTAAAGGGGGTGGCGACTAAGTCGTCAAAACTAGGGTTTTCTTCCTAGAGAAAGGGAACCCAGAGAGGAGAGAAGTTTTTGTTTTTGTATTTTTGTATTTTTGGTGATTGGACTAGATAACATGAGCCTCTATTGTTATTAGATTGGATGAAGATGGATGAATAATCATCATTAACACATGCATCCAAAGTTTGAGCATCACGTAGGAGAGATGAGTAGGACGTGAGAGAGAACGGAACGAGAGTGAGGAAACAGTAGAAATAGACTTCCATCAATTTTGGAAACAATTAAAACAAGAATAATAAAATTTTAAATAAAATTCTGCAAGCTGATGTGCCACAACATCTTTCGATTTAAGGGTGCAAGTGTTGGTTTTAAAACATTTTTAAGAAGTTCATTTGAATATTAAACATGCATTTAATCAAATTAATCGCAGCGGAAGAATATGGTGGTTGTTTAAATTCAAAAACAAAACTTCTTCCAAGTATCTTATGCCATGAACATTGATATGTTTTTCATAAATGAAAATTCAAGAGAAAGGATAAGATCTAATTACCCTTGAAGCAATTATATGAACCAAGTTGTGTTTTGGTCTTCTCTTGATGATTTTCCTTTGTTGATCTCCTCTTGATCTTTCTCCTCCTTGTGAGCCACAAAAGTATATGGTCTCTAAGTCTCCACACCAATGGAACCTTGAGATGAGAAGAGGTATCTTGAGAATACAAGGATGCTAGTACAAGATTCTCAAGATTAGATTCAATCTAAACCACTTTGAAAGAAGATTGTGTTTCACTCTTGAAAACTCACAACTATCTCTCTTTGATCTCCCAAACCTCTTTAGTTGATGTTGGATTGTGTTTGTGTGTAAATTAGCTTATAGAAACAATTTCCATACACATCTACTTAAGCATTTTCGGCCAAACCCCATTGGGCTTCCAAAAATGGGCCTTATGACACTTAAGCCATAATTTAGGTGTCTTAAGTCCA